TGATCAACTCTTACGTAAATATGAGTGTCTTCAGCATCACTATCACACATGACTTGCCATATAATGTGGTTCAAGAGTTATCGCGTTGTCATTATTCACACTACTAGGAAACGTTCCAGAGGCACACCACGTGAAAAGGAACGTACCATAGAACTGTTGGTCGTGTAGTATATCGTCACGTCCATATCATTTAAGGATTATAAGCTGAAACCAGATGAGCACATCGCTGCTATTAACCTGTCAGATTATATCATGACCAAACACTTTGGGGATGGAACCCTGGTGCATTCAAGTTGCTGGGCATCTATTTTGGGGCTGGCCCAAAAATTCCTACCCAAACACTTTTGTTGGCAGAGCAACAACAGAGACCAAAAAACCACAACATTTTTAATGACATGCATTGCATGAGGCCGCATGGGTAGCACGGGCAACAGCCTTTATCTCTCCGTGAGGACATATATGATTTACAATCAGAAATTCCCACTTTTACAGCACTTTGTGACACCTTGGACAACAAGTTGCACAGCTCATGAAAACTTGGTCGAACGTGCGCCTCACAGGACTTAAAATTAGGGAAAAAGCTTCCATGGGCTTCCATATGCTTGCAGAGTGATAGAATACAGATACCGATCACCTCAAGTGAAGGCGCACAGTTGCTCCACAAGTCCTTTTTCTGGGCTTATGGTTAGGTCCACAGAGTTGCATCCCGCTTTCAACCACCATTAAGGAGCAGTACTGTTTCACCCCCTTTCCTTTTTCTCCAATCGATTCTGTACGCTTCATGTATAGCTTAAGCTGAGCGTGTAAACAACTCTTTGTTCTTCTCCGCCCGCGCAGACATAAATATAGTTCATCTCCCCCCCGAATTCCATATTAATTTCATCCACACCTATTTCGTAACTTGGGTAACCCGAACACAACTTGGTCCATAGGGCAACGTTCTAACTTCCAAAACAGCATCGTTCACTGTACAGGCAGTGCTGTCTGAGACAAATTTCATCAGCTGCATTAAAAGTGTCGCACACTTGTTTCAAACCATCGACAGATTTGTCCCATTTTGGCCACAGATTCAATTGTGTCGCTGGGCCAACACACCCACTTTTGTTTTCCTTTTCGTTTGTGCCACCGGATTTTCTCATCACATCGCGCTGCAGGTAGCCCCCCTAAGAAAAAAAGGGCATATAACCATCCACTTCCTACGGACTTTCCTCTTCTCTTTTGTAATCAGTTCCTACGTCGTTTTACTCTGTTCACCTCCAAAAGCTGGCTACGGATTACGTGTGTTCTTGTGATCATCACTTTGACGTGTGTTGTGTGTCTTTTCGAACAGAGAGATTGGACAATTAATAGTCAACTGTTTAGCGTCAGCTTGGTGTCATCGCTCATCGCACATCTATGAAGGGGGCTCACAAGCCCATGCGGACATCGAAAAGAATCGCCAACGGTGCACCTACAACAAGTGTTGCGAGCGGTGAAATGGAGAGACCGTGCACTCCGGTGAACAGGATAACAAACCCAGAACAATTGCAGAACATGTTACGCTCACCAATACGGAGCCCAAACCCAAGTGGCGAGGATGTGGATGGGGGTGTTGATGGTCTAGCGTGCACCACGGCGTTCAGCACCCCGGGGATTCTTCGTGGGCTGAACACGAGCACGTATTCCTCGCACAACGAAACCGAGGTCATGGTGACGTCAATGCTTGAGAAGCTGAACCAGGAGCCATCAACCAAGCTGGATAATCACGAGGTCAGAGCTTTACTGCAGAAGTGCCTAGTCACGATGTCCCATTACAAATTACAGAACAATATCCTTCGGTTCGAAGCTGAAGAAAAGGAGAAGCGTAATGCCATTGAGACGGACCTGATCAAAACACAGATGGATCTACTTCTCAAGTCGCCGTTCAAACCTTCAACCGGCTCTAGCGTGGTTAAAAGTGCGCAATGCACAGCAGTCCACAAGACTGTGACGAAGATACCCCGGATTGCACAGCCAAAGCCAAGCTCTCCACGCGTTGGAAGGATAGTCAAACCAAAGCTTCGGCTTGTTGAAAGGATCGGTAAGAGGGAAGATCAGTTTGGTAACTGCGTGAAGGTGTTTCATTTACAAAAGAAGTGAAGCAAGAGAATGATCAAACCAGAGTACTAAGAAATGTGACATATCGAGACATGTGCTGGACACCATGTAATCCAAGGGACTTTTTTTATTTTGTATTTCGAGAATGTACATCAGGGATATCAAATTGTTGTTGCTATATATAATAATGATTGGTTATTGGCTGTCCAATTGCTATCTCATACGGTATAATTGCCGAGGTTTGCTATATAACCATTTACTGTAATGTTTTGTTGGATTAATAAATTTTTTATCATTACTGTCAACCTAAATACAAGCTTTAGGTAGGCGATCTCAGGTCGATAATCTTAGCTGTGAACAGATTTAAGGCCCTTGATACCTTTGCATGAGTGGAAGAAACACACTGCTTCACATAAACCTGCGTATTGGATGCGGTGGATGGTACACGTTTGGATGCACAGGGGTAACAAGGAATTTACCAGTGATATTCACTCCTTTCGCAAAAATCCGGAATTGTCTAGATAACTTTGGCGTTATAGACCTGGACACTCAGGATCACTTACGAAACACACAATAACCATCATGTTTGCATAAACCCTATTACAGTGGCCAATGATCAAGGAGTAAATCTGTGGGACGGTTCCATTTAGTGTGAGTAACTTTTTTAAGGGCCCGAGACAGGGGCTCCAGTGGAGAATCTTACGCATAAGAAATACGCACGGTTGCATATGGTCTCCATCTTGATGTTGGGATATTTTACCCGTGTCTACATATACAGATGTTATTTTTATCCGTAATTACGATGCCAAATTTACCATAGCAACGGGTCTTACCCATTTCCATAGATGCAAGCCCCATAATCTGTCCTTCCCTGTCTTTATGCTGTATGCTGCTTCCTTATATAACAGGTTAGGAGTGGAGGGATGAATGTATACGTGTATAGTAATATCATAGCAATTGCCCCTTGTAGTACTCAACAATGGCGAAATTCTTCAGTTCTAACTTGTAGTGGAATTCACAGAGCCTTTCATCTTCATCCTCCTTCACCTGCTGGAGTTTGCCGTGTAGGGCTGTTATGAAAGTCTCAACAACGGACTCTGTGACCCTTGGCTGTACACCACTTCCTTGGTTGGAATACGAGTTGTGTCTTTTCATTTGCTCATTTCTCATTATCGTGGAGTCCTGCTCAAGAGGACGCTTTTTCAACCTGGTGCCTTCATATGCTGTTTGATGCAGCTCTTGTAAGTACTTGTAGTTTCTCATCAAGTGCTCTAAAGAATCAGATCTTGGAATCAATGACTTGTCGGTTGAATTGTGGAACGAACAAGTCACTCTGTTCTTACAAGGGGTTCCTTGACGCGTTATAACAGCACACTGGAAATCACGGTGCGATATATCAAAGATTTTGAAGCCATTGGTTTGGTTAGCATACTGTCTATCGCTTGTAAGAGCTGCTAGATATGGAGTAATGTTAGTAGAAGGGGGCGGAAGGGAACGAAAAAAGAGAGAGGTGAAACAGAAGAACAGAGTTAAAGCAGTGTTTCGTCTCCAAAAGAGAGAAGCAAGAGAAGAGAAGAGATCAAAGAGAAGAGGGAGAGAAATCAGCAACACACATGTACATACGTTCAGGGATCCAGGGGTATAGTTTTGGGTATAAGATATTCTTCTAAGCTGTCTTCTTTTGGCTGAGAGGAGTATGGCCGGAATATTGTACTCCTCCTCGTTAGAAACCTCCATATTAACCCAAGTCTTTCAGTCAATAACCATTAGATTGATAAGGAAAGAGAACATCATACCTGTTAAGAAGTCGGGAAAAGAAACTGGCGGCAGACAGTCCAATGCCTGTGCATAGTTGTACTGGTCATCGTCTGTGCTATTCGCGTCAAGCTGGCCAGAATCATCGTCCAGCACATTCACGTCCTCAAAGTATATATCGTACTCCTGCTCGTTTACGCAGTTAGGGGTCGGTGGTTCTGTGTAATGGTAACTATAGTCGTTGTCCAACTGGTTCTCAATCTCCACCCTTAGCTGGGAACTAAGACTATCGTGTTGGCCATACTCGCAGTAAGTCGAATAGCCGCTCTCGCCCCTGTAGCCGTTGACAAAGGTGGCGCTTGAGTTTATAAAGTCCTCATTTAGTTCAAACGTGCAATAGTCGTTCAAATCAAACGGTAGTTTTGACACACCTTGTTCTATGTAGGATCACGCTGTTAGTGAACATTTGGACACCACATGGTGGGAACAATGAATGGGGAACTTGGAATCACCTTACCTTCGGCAGCTAATCGTAAAGAACATGCACCTTCTTGCTCTTCGACGGTATGGAATTCTACTAGTGTCATTTTGTAGTCAGTTGCAACCGATGGAATGACCCAAATATGAACCGCGACGTTAGATGGATTCCATTCGATTTGAAGTCCTGAAGAGTAATTTATATACCTCAACGCTGTGTGATCATCTCCTCTCCGTGTCGTTTAATGCTCTATCTGCTATCGTAGTCACGGCTCTTTCTCTCTCCCTCCAAAAAAGAAAAGAGAATTAGCAACAAAGGGTATACCATATGTTAAATTATAACTTATACCCCACTGTACAAATCACACTTCATGAAGCCACTCGTGCCTTTCGTAGACTAAACTATGCACCCTATTTAAGTGTGAGTTATATGTATCGGGGAGTTCAAGTGCTTTCGATAAGGTTTTTTTTTACAATTGTCCTGCGAGGGCTGGGTTACTGCATGTAACTTTTTGATAGCACGCAAGCTTAAAGTTAACCCTTTTAACTCAGATTGTACTATCATCGCTGACAGCTGTGGCCATCCTGTTCCGTCTAAGATGCTATTGCCAGGTGTGGCGAGACAGAATAGGTTAGCCCCAGACTTGACTGAATCAATGGATGCCCAATGGCTCTTTTACGGATTGTGTGCGTGTTGTGTGGTCATATATTGGTATGCGGTTATACGTACGGTGAGTGTCCCAGTTCCCACCTTGCTATATGTCCATAACCCAGTGGCATATGACAGCCATGTTTTGCTTTCAATTAATGGGCGTCAGAAGTGAACCCTTAAAATTCGGCCACCTTGGCCCTTATAGTTTGGCTCATCATGCAGTGATGTCAGTGAGGTGGTCCCAAAGCTTATCGCTCTTGAAGGCTGTATTTATCACCAATGCGTGCTGCAATGCATTGTCGTATAACATCTGTACGGGCAGTGGTTTGGGGAAGAAAGATTGGCTGAGAGGGTACTACTACGATTGAACAGTCATGGTGAACCCAAAGCTTGAAGGTGGACAAAGGTGTATCGCAAACCCAGAGAAGAGGAAAACCTGCAGTGACTGTGCCATGGTCATTGTCGTCGACACCAAGGGCCCGTGTGGGAGGTATCATGGGTCTTGATCCCCCAAGGTCAATGCTTTGGTGTAAAAAAGCACTGAAATCAATGATCTCGTATGGGAAGCAAACATAAAGAAGGATACGGGGGACTGGTTGAGAGTTTCTGAGTGTATCAAATAACTATCAGCGCAGCGCATAATCTCTCCGCTTTGTCTTTACACACTTAGGTACCAGAACTTTACAAATAATAATCCATAATCCAGTGCAATGCACTTTCGTTGATTATAACCAATGGGATACATCCGGCTTGTTTCTCGGCATAATTTATAACCTTGTAACATTTGGTAGTGCCCATGGTGTCGTTGTATACTATCCTAAAATTCCTCACAAGAAGGGCTGGAACACTGCCAATTCGGATTTAGTCGAAACGACAATTAAGCATGTTGTAGAACTCGGTTTACCAAGCGAGTCCCATTCTATGTGGTATGTGGCTCCTGTTGCTGCAAATATATATGGACCGTGAGAGTCTGCATCTTGTCACCACTTACGCTCACTCCTTTCAAAAGGGTTTACTCATGACAACCAAGACGTCATTAGTACATATTCGGCGATGAATTAAGGTTCTATATGACCAGTAGACAGGAACCCCTAAAAAGCCCAGAGACCTGTGGACACTGATTGCAGTCCGAGAGAGATGGTGCTGTAGTTCATGTTAACTAAACTGGTTTGTTCAAGCAATAACATAACGGTTCAAAAAACTGTCACCACACTATTGTAATGATAGTTTTGAAAGTTGCCCAATTCTTGCCACACTTGCGTTATGCACACATGTTGTCTCAGTTATTACAAATTCATAGCATGCATCCAATTGTCAAAGTCTAGAATCTAATTAGTCCATCATTTGCAGTGTCTACTGTCTTAAGACGTCAATTAATCGATTGCATTATCAATCTGATCCGGTGAACTCTGCTGGTATCGCTTCATGGTAAAAATTGACGAGTTCTCAGCAATGGTAACTTCTTATCCACGTAAACTGCGAATTGTTCTCCATGGTAACGCCATAGGTAAGATCTAGATTTCAATCTATATGGTCTTCTCTCTGCAGATTCAGTACTCCAAGATAACAGCGCCGCCCCCAACTTTATCATGACATGCGCCCCAGGCTTGGAACATCCTTAACTTTCCCTGAGACGATAGTAGCCCTTTCTTCTCTAACACACGTGACGCTAGGCTAGGGCTCCGTGACTGCTTCGAAAACCACAAAGCTAAAAATTGTATAAAACACCCAAACACCACTGGACTCTTGCCTTGTCTCCGCGAATTTACCTACACTCAAACTCGCGCAGTGGGCGTAAACGCCCAGGAAAAAAGCACTCAAACACACACAAAAAACACAGGCAAGGCCTGGTACACGCACTCTGTCTCGAGGTTCTGTTGGTGAAAAAAAATATCAAATTCAAGTTTTACAAGCAATCCTTCACTCACACACTTTCTTTGAATACTCACAGAATACAGGAAAATGTATGTTATGCCCTAAGGAATAAGATTTAAACGAGATGATCTGTGAGATGGAG